CTTACCGTAACAGTCCATTTTAGATTCTGAGTTGAGCGATAAATGTAGGTATATAGATAGCTGTATATACTTACATAACTATTATKATAATAGCCAAATATTTAAATTAGTATTTTTGAAAATTATGAATATATATATATATATATTGTAACATTCGTTACACCTTATATATATATATATAAATATATACCCACACTTAGCACACACTATATGATTGACCAATACATAATATACACACTCAACTCAACACTTTTCTACCCATGCACATAATTACTTATCATTAAAATGACACACAGCAGTTAGTTCGACAGTCGCCATCAATAGGAGCGAACTCACCAATACACTTATTAACAGCCAACTACATTAGTCAAATATTATTTTTAATATAATAATTAATATGGATCTATTGATCTATAAACCAAACGTGTCTTATTATTGATAAAATACCTCATGGCTCATACACAGTGCTCTAACCCCCAGCTACGGAAAACTTATCCATAATGAATAGAAAACACTCCCTGGATAACTAATATCGCTGCAATATTAAGAAATGTTTGCCTTGTTTGTGCTATTTCAGGACATTTGACATTTTCGGCGGTTTTAGCCATTTTTGATTTATGTACCAATGGCAAAATTATTATTTTTACCTAACTGAATATTTCAAATTTAATGCAGAATTCTTAATACATTTTTACTGTTAGTAAAAAATATTTAAAAACACTGTCATATTATTTTAAGCGTCTTAAGTCTAATGCTAGGTAATTCGGTATAATCACGAAAACACATGTAAATTATTTTGAGATTAAAAATGTCTTTCATTTTAAATTTTAACAACCAAAGATTTAAAATTGAATACAAGATTCCTAATAAGTTTTTATTCTGAATTCGAAAAAAATAGCGCGTAAAATCAAAAATATTTTTATGAACAATTTAAATTGAATTTTGAAGACAGTAGATATTTTTAAACAAAAATAAACAATTTATCTACAAATAAATTGTATTATTAAATATTAACATTAGAAACTTGAGATTTGTCAAACGTTACTGCGGAGTAACTAAGCCCTCCTCAAGCATTCACAGCCAATACATAATTTACTCTCATATATGCTTCTTGTAATTATGTTTATATACATATTGTATATATTTTCTGATAAAAAATGTAAAAAAAATATTTTGAGACATCCCGATCCCACTACTTTATAATTTCTTATTTTCAAATAAACAATTTAAAAATCCGAAATATTATTAACGCGCGTAGATGGATATTACTGCTGAACTGTGATATATAATTTTGATATATTAGGGCGCTATTTCGGCTACAGCAGTAAATTAAAAATTTCATAAAATAGCATTTTCGTAGTGACGTAGCGATAATAGTACAATATAAGTTGTATATAAGTTCAATTAAAAAACTTAAGCTCGATTAATAAAACGGAAAATGTAATGCAAGATTTATTATAATATATTGTTTTAATGTTCAAAATCTGGCAAATATCAATTAAAGAATATTAAAAATAAATAGTCACAATGTATGTTATTAGCGTTTGAAGTTAAGTTAGAAAAAGCGTTGAAAGCATTTAACGAACTCAAGAAAATTTAAATAATAATTATTTTTTCGATTCTAAAAGCTAGGTAAGGGCTTGTAAACGTAACAAAGATTTCTTGTAAGTTTTTCTTACAAAAACATAATACAATTTTTGAACTACACGTTTTCGTTAAGACATTTCAACTTTAAATTAAGACAAAATCGAAAATTTGATAGCTAAACGAAAAATAACTTTTTTAGTTGTTTCTTCTGAATTTTAACTAAAAAAAAAGTTGCTCATAAAATTTTTTGCCACAATGTTTACTATCATAATTTATATGTATATTGCGTATATATCAGCTATATAAGTATATATAATGAGCTATATATATATGTGCTTATAAGCAGGGCTAGGAATGCTAGGATTTGTATGCAATAAAAAATTGTAAAATATGCATTTTATTTACCAAAATATGCAAAAGTATGCATTTTAATTTCTATCTTAGATTTTATATTGACCGACATACTTTTATTAATTGTGTTTATCTTTCTTCGTCAAACTATTCAATCTTTCTCCGTCAAACTATTCAATCTTTAATCGCATAGCTATTGTACCATAGGATTGTGTTTATAAAAATAAAATTTGTGTTTGACAAAAAAATCAAGTTTAATACTTTAATCAGCTGAGCTAGAATTAAATACGAAGTATTRATATTAAATTATAAATATTAATTACGAAATATACTATAAAACATGCATTTTTCGCATTCTTATAATGGAAATATGCAATAATATTAATTTTATTCAATATATGCATT